ATAGAGGAAGACATAGCTGTATCTGCCTGTAATGCCAACATTGCAAAGAAGAGACTGTGTCTGGGGCTCACTGGTCAGCCAGCATAGCCAAAAAAGCAAAAATTTGCAGAAAGCAAAGAAATACACACACACACACACACACACACACACACACACACACACACACACACGATTCTTTTATCTGTCTAAATTCCTTCTAGAGTTTCCCATTCTTCTCAAGATAAAAGGCAAACTTTAGACCCTATATATTCTACTCATATACTGTCAAATAGGGTCTCATTGCTCTTCTCCATGCTCACAAAACTGTGGCCATTTTGGTCCTCTGTTTGTCAAACATTCCAGTCATTCCTACCTCAGGGCTGTTGCACTAGCTAGGTTCTCCTGTCATCATTGCTTGGCTTTCCCAGACTCTGGTCAGGTTACAGGCAAAATAACAACAAACGGGTTTATAGCCTTTATTTTGCGTGTTTGATATGGACTTGTTTATCTACCAATTCTTACACAGCTGAAGCCTGACACAGTTTGACACATCTGGATTATAAAATAGAGACCAAAGTTCAAAGACAGATGGTACTTAATGAAAGCCACTCAGGTTTGGGGAGGTACAAGACTGTTTAAGTACAAATCCAGAGGTTGTTGTATGATGTGGATTTAAGGGGAAGAAATTTTTATCGGAACACTGCTTAAACTCACTGTGATTAAAATACATGGTTTCAACAATGGAAAGCTAGTCTCTCTCTCTCTCTCTCTCTCTCTCTCTCTCTCTCTCTCTCTCTCTCTCTCTCTCCCTCCCTCCCTCCCTCTCTCTCTCTTCCTCCCTCCCTCCCCCCTCTCTCTGTGTACATACATGCATTTGCTTTGACTTTGCTGCCTCAAGGTTGGGCTGTATATAGAAAGGCAGAGACAATCTAAATTTCTCTTCCATTTGTGCCATCCTATTTTTCCTCTGTAACAAAATATTAGGTTTTATTTTTTTTTAGGCTAGAAGGAAGTATTTGTAATTTATGGGTTCCTCTCTTGAAATTACAGCTAGATCCTAATTTAAAAAAGCAAATTAGTCTCATCTAATTAAATTTGTAAATTGCCTCATAAACACATATTTCGTTATAGATGTCTCTAAAAGCAAGGTTCCCTGTTTGTTCATGGGGGCAAGGCTGGCTTGAGCTCATTGGGGAGGGAATTCTTCCTCTCTGTCTGCTCAAGAGGGCATGGTCCTCTGCCATTTGCACAAACTTTCTAAAATGCCACATTGTCTATGAAAGCACTTCTCAATTGTTAATGCCCACATGAATCTGCCAGGGGTCTAGTTACATGGGCAATTTTGACACAGGAAGCACTGATGGGACATGATGTGTTATATTTCTGAAGTTCCCAGGTAATGCTGTTTCATGGAGCACACTGTTGTCTCAGAGGCTACACCTGAATTAAGGAGATAAGAATATGCCATCCTGGATGGTGAAGTACTGACACATCACATTTCTCTCCCTCAACTTCTTTATTTTTATGACATGTTAATAGATAATATTACTTCTAAATTCCAAAGACTGTGCTAATATTGTATTTAATATGAACCTTACAGCAACCTCATCTGGTAGATTACATTAATACTTGTAGGGAGAGATTTCAGGTACCCACAGCACTGACCACACCCATTTGGGCGTGTTTACAGGTATGGGGGGAGAGGCAGAGATAAAGGGCAAGGAGGAAGGGGTCACTTGTTCTCTTGTGTTTCAGTCGAGGTGCAGAGACCAGCAGAGTGCTGACCTCAGTTCTTAGCTTCTCATGTGATTTCTCCTTAATAAAAATAACACACGACCTCCCTATCCTATGTATGGTAATCTTCCTCTTATATCTGGTGTCTTAGAAGTGGGATATTCACGGGACTTGGGGGAGTAAGTTCACCCAGCCCCCCACACTTGAGCTCTTATAAATACTTTTTCTAACTCCCTCGGTTAAGTCCTGAGCTGAACTCAAGAAAGCCAGTAACAGAGAGGGAGGACTGATGACCAAAGGGATTAAGACTGGGCTGGTTTAAACCCCAGAAACAGCTGACCAGACAAAGGTTAACTCTTGAATCCCAGGCATCAGCCTGGGAATCCAGCATGGGACTGATTAAGACCCCCTGAATCTGGGTGTCAGTGAGGAGGCCTAGGTAATCTATTGAGCCTTGGGCACAGATCAGTACCCATCCCAAGTATACACACAGACTTTGGACTCCCATAGAACAATGTGAGGTGCACTCTCACCCTGAACTCTTGGGGAAGGGTCTAGGCCCTGCCCTATATGAAATGACAGACTATGGACACCCCCATGGAGGGCCTCACCCTCCCTGGGGGAATGAGGGGATAACGGGGGGGGGCTGGGGGGAGGGCACGGGAGGAGGGGAGGGAAAGGGAGAGGGACCTGGAACTGACTTGTGAAGCAACCTTGTTTCTTATCTAAATTTAAACTGGAAAATAAAATAAACATACTTTTTCTAGTTTTTGTTTCCAGTTGAGAAGCTTGCTGTCCTAGGAGAATATCTGATGTGCTACAGTACACATACCACGTAATGAGATGAACTTGGATCCTGATCTAGGAGCTTGACCTCCAAGTTAACATTCTTATCATGCTTGGGCCTCATTAGCTTGTGACATGCACCACCACAGTCATGCTTATACACAGAATACAATGGGCCAAACACACAAAAACAGTATCCCCTAAGAGTTTTGGTGTGTTCCCAGATGGCTCACAGAAATGTCAGTTGGCAGCAATCTACTGGCCCTGGTTCTCTGTAATCAAAGTCTGAGGAGTTACTTGAAAATATCACCACAAAGCCATCTCTAAGATTCCATCATGGAAATGGATTCGGGTTTTTTTATTCTCTACAAGGCACTGGGTTCATAACTAAGTAAGCCAGGTAAACTTCTCCATCTTTCTCTTATTTTATGTCTACTGCTCCAGAGACTGAACCTCACACCTGTTACAAATTCAGGAGTTGTTATTCAACAAGTCTAACTCACAACTGTGTTTCGACCACCTTCTCTGTCCATCTATTTCTTTATCTAATCACAGAAAGGCAAAGCATTGCTTTTAGTCTAGAGCAACGCATAGCCCTCTGGTATAAAAACTAATGCTGTTCTTGAAAAAGAACTCTGTGCAGAGATACAGGCACACTTTCAGAACAGTGGAACCTAGTGGTTTCCAAGAGCAGGTAAGTATAAAGAACAGAACCTTTTTATGACTAAGCTTTGTCATTTCAAACGAGAAAAATAAGACAATTGCCATGAGGTATTCATAAAGCTGACTTCATTCAATTTCAGAGACTTTTATTCTGAAATGACATCCTTTTGTAGCTTTAGAATCATATCTTTTTAAATTAAATGTTAATAAGAGATGCTAAAATAGCTTATATCAGTTTCTAAAGTCTTTCAATGTTGCTGGTCCATGAATTTTGAATCCATATACTCCTAGAATGGAGAAATTTCATATGATAGTACCATTGCTCACTAAATCATGAATGTTTACTCTGCTGCACAGTAAGTCTCTATGTCTATCTGTCTACCTGTCTCTGTTTCTCCCTCCCTTCCTCCTTCCTTCTCTCCCTCCCTCTATCTGTCTCTCTGACTGTAGTCTCTATGATGGAAAGCACACAATTATGAATTATTGTGAATCGGTAGGATTTTGTTTCTCTCTCTTCCCAGACAATGTTTTGACCATATTTTACCTAGTCAACTGTGCCAATATGAATGTTTCTCCTCTTATGATAAACACAGGAAAAAAGATTTTCTCTGTTACCCAGGAAGGGTAACATAGACATTGGGGTACTTGTATTCCTCCTTCCAAGTGCTAACCATGAGAACTGCACCAAGCTCCTTGAACTTTCTAAAATGAAGACATTCGATCGATCTTTTGATACCAGGTGTCCAGTAAGACAAGGTGTTTTCTATTGTTCATGGCAATAATCTCCTGCTTCAGATATGCCTTATGACCATCCATGTCCCTAGAAAGCTTATAGGTTCATTAGGTTAATCCTTTTCCTTTATTGAAAAATACTGTATAACACCCACAGCACCCCCAAGCCTATGTTTTGCTGGTGCAGGTTTCTGCATGGATGCTATGTGGTGTAAGCCCCTCTGTGGACCAGGGTTCATATTTCAATCTGAGAAACTGTGCCTTTTATCTCTTCAAAATGTGCTATCACCTGAAGCAGTGGTTGGCACTTTGATCTTATAGATGAGGAATCAGGTCTGAAGAGAGGAGGTTACCAAGGGAATCTTGATATTATGGACAAGCTTTTAGGACATGAGGCCATAGTGCTTTCAACTTCTCCATCATATCCCTCATCTTTATCTCTCTGCTTTTCTACTTTGTCCAGTGTGAATTAGAAGATCATGGTGTTTCAGAATACATAAATGAAATTTTACCTACATGCTGGTTCTTGACTTAGATATCAGTATTTGTGGAGATAGTTTTGCTTTTGTTCTGCATCAGACTTCTAGACAGCTTAGTTTACTGTCTTTAGGTGTCTGCTTGGTAGGTGTGTTACTCTTGAATATGGTCTATTCCATATCTGATATGAGAAAGATTTGCTGATGGGCAAATGTATTATGAACTACTAGTTGACTACTGGTATTATATACTTTGGGCACAGAACAGGTTAAAATTCCGGAATCTTTTATCCTTGAAACAGAATAACTATAGGTGTGTCTCCAAAACCCATGGACTGATATATGTAGGGCAATTCACCATAAGCATTGTGGTTTCCCATAGGAACTTTGTCTTTTGTCTTTCAGGTCTGGGTCTTCTCTTTTATATTTGTTGCCTTGAGCTATTGACCCATTTGCAGAAGTGATTACCTAACCATGAGCATATCAATTCATGATTTATCTTTGGGATAATTAAAATAGCCCAACTATGTACCCAAGTTGTATCTTACTCACCTCTATGCCCTCAATGGAACAGGTATTCACTCATTGAATGAGGCTGAGCCAACTGAAGTGGTCCAGGAGCCTCCTTACCTCATAGAGTGTGATGACCCCATTGGTCTCATTGGGAGGTTTCCACTGGATGTAGATCTTTTCTTCAAAGGGCCCGCCTTGGATGGACTCAAGAGGAACAGCTCCTGGAACTATAGAAGAAAAATGTTGAAAGCCTCATGTAACCTCCCACATCATTTATCCATCTTTGCTGACCAAGAACATGGACTATCAAAGTTTCTATACAGGACAATGCATTATATGTTAGGACTGATGGCTGATACTATCTTGACTCTGCCATTGTAGCACAAAAATTGCCATGGATAATCTATAAATGAACAAATATGGATGTATTCAATAAAACTATACAAAATCAGCCAATGGGATGATTTTGACTCATGACTGGCAGTTTCTCATTCACTTATTAAGGAAGACTACTAACGACGTCAATCTGATCAGGCACAGGGGATGTAAGTCGGCTTCAGTCTGCTTCAGGATTGCGGTTTGATGCATGCAAAATGAGTTTGCCAACAATTTAATAATTCAGTCTCATGGCCCTGCCAAGTTTTCCCCAACTTTACAAAATGTTTCATTGGTTTCTTAATTCCTGGATCCAGCAGCAACCATGTACCCAATTAGAACATCATCTTGGTCCAAGCAGTCATCTGACTCATCATGCTGCTGAGTCTCTTAATCCCTTGTAGGGTAGATGCTTAATATCTGCTTGTTTGTTGGATGAAGAGTTCAATGTATGACTATGTTTATATTTTTGCCCTAATGAGCGCACTTTTCCTGGGACTGCTTCGGTAATAGGTTAGTCTTTCCATCAGCATCTTCTGGCTGGTTCCAGCATTCTCACACAATGGACTGGAAGATGCTGAGTCAGAAAGTAAACAATTCCTGAAACTTCTACTTATAAGCCCTTAGAGAATGAAGAATTCATGTAAATCATTACCAAATCTATTTATACTTCAGCATTATAAAAGCAGGTGCCCTCACTAAGTGCTCGCTCTTTGCTCAGAATTCTACATGCATTATTTCACTTACACTATAAAACAGCTCTGCCTAGTGTGTTATCTCCGTGCTGATAAAGGAAGTGAAGCTGCGAGGATGAAATACCTGGTCAAGGTCATCCCACTCCAAAGTTGTAGAGAGGGAGTGGAACACCTGTCTCTGAGCTACAGAGCATATACTCTTAATCATCATGGATAGAGCCTCAGCCATATGCTGCAATCAGTTCCCCATTGTCAAATTAAAATGCATTTATATGTTTCGAATTATGGACACAATGCATATAATTTTTTGATAGTAAGAATATACAAAAAGATCTTCCAGTCTGCACCAAGTCCTCTGAATATATAGTACTACTTCAGTTTAGTGTTTTTATGAGACTCCTGAGTGTGAACCAGTGGGTCTCTGACTCTTGTGCCTTCTCTTGGTCATCCTTCCTTCTGTTGATTTGTCTTATCCAATTTTGATGAGATTTTTAGATCTTATTATATGTTACTTTATTTTTTGTTATCTCTTAGAAACCTGTTCTTTTCTAATGAGAGACAGAAAGGGAGTATATCTGCATGGGAGGGGCTGAGAGGGGTAGAAGGAAAGGAAACTGTAATCAGGATATATTGTATGAAAAAAGAATCTATTTTCAACAAAAGGCAAAAGGAGGGAAAAGAAAAAAAGAAAAAAAAACACACAAACAAAATCTTAAGAGAAGATGGACAAAATCACTCATATCAAAATCCAAAGATTGATTTCTAGTATTGTATGGAAATATAATGATACATAATTTTTAATATAAAATTTGAATTTACTTTTTCAAAATTAATCAATTCTATGTCATATTTTATCTCTTTTATAACTAGAAAATCATAGACATTAAAATTCCTAAAATCCTCATGCTCCTTTTGAGATCAGACATTTTAATGGCCACTTGGAGGCATATGACTATAATATGGTCAACTGTCCCTTCTTATTGAGTGTAAAACTGATTGAAATATTTCATGATTATGGATAACACTAGGTAAAATATTATTTATTTTTCAATTATCATACTAGGTACGGGTTTCCTTATGAGATGTTCATATGTTCTTTGCTATTGAATCTCTTTCCCCCATTTCCCTATCCCTGCCTGTGCCCTTATGCTTCCAGTGCCCCCATTCACCTTCATGTTATGTGTGTTCTGTTCCCAGCCCTGAGTTCCTTAGTTAAAACCCATATTTCCCCCCTCATGGGCCCCTTTGGAGGGGGAAGACTCTGACCAAAAATCACTCTCACAAAAATGCACACATAAAAGTAAGATGCTCTCAGAGCTATATACAAAAGACAACATGTAATGTTTGAAACTCTGTGCCTGGGTCACCTGATTTAACATAATATTTTCCAGATCCATGCAGGTTCTTGCAAATTTCACAATTTCAGCTCTCTTGATAAGCATTCTCATACATAAGAAACTACACACAACTTTGCTTGTGTCCTCAAGACAAATTTGTGGCAATTAATTTACTAGGCCTAAGTAGATCTTATTTTTAGGGATTTTGACACATATTACCAGATTGCCTCCAGAAAGTCTGTGTAAGTCTGGGCTCCTAACAGAAGAATATGCCTAAGCCCGATTTCTGCCCACACTGACTATTTAAAAAATTAAGTATATATGTCATTTTTAGAACACTGGAAAGCATCTTTTCACTTTTAATTAGTCATTTGCATTGATGCGTTTAGGAACACTCTCTACACCCTTTGCTCATCTCCCTGTATGTGTCTTTAGTTTTGCTCACCTTTGTCTTATGGAATTGTCACTATAATCCCTTTGTAAAGACACACGTTTTTGCATAGTTTACAAATAGAGTTTTTATTTTTATTCTTTTTTAAGGCAGGGTTTCTCTATATATTCCTGGTTGTCCTGGAATTCACATTGTAGATCAGGTTGGCCTTAAACTCAAAGAGATCTGCCTGCCTCTGCTTCTCCAAGTACTGGGATTAAAGGTATACAGCCACTTTGGAAATAAATATGACAGTTCCTCAGGAAAATGGGGATCAGTCTACTACAAGATCCAGCAATTCCACTCTTAGGCATATACCCAAAAGATGCCAATTCATACAACAAGGAATTCTGTTTAACTATGTTCATAGCAGCATTATTTGTAATAGCCAGAACCTAGAAGCAACCTAGATGCCCCTCAACTGAAGAATGGATAAAGAAAATGTGGTACATTTACACTATGGAGCACTACTCAGTAGAAAAAAACAATGGAATCTTGAAATCTGCAGGCAAATGGATGGGACTAGAAGAAACCATCCTGAGTGAGGTAACCCAGTCACCAAAAGACAAACATGGTATGTACTCACTCATATGTGGATTTTAGACATAGATCAAAGGATTACCAGCCTATAATCCACACTGCCAGAGAAGCTAGGAAACAAGGAGGATCCTAAGAGAAGCATACATGGTCCCCTGGAGAAGGGGAAAGGGACAACAGCTCCTGATCAGATTGGGAGCATGGGGGTAGGGGAGAGGGAGTTAGGAGAAAGAGAAGGGGAGAAGAGGAGGGGAGAGGAGGACATAAGGGAGCAGGAAGATTGAGTTGGGGAAGAATAGAGGAGAGCAAGAAAAGAGATACCATAATAGAGGAAGCCATTATAGATTTAAATCTGTCACTAGGGAAATATCCAGAGATCTACAAGGATGACCCCAACTAACAATCTAAGCAATAGTGGAGAGGCTGCCTTAAATGCCCTTCCCCAATAATGATTTTGATGACTACCTGATATGCAATCCTAGAACCTTCATCTAGTAGCTGATGGAAGCATAAGCAGACACTCACAGCTAAACACTGAGCTAAACTCCTGGAATCAAGTTGCAGATTGAGAGGAGTAATAAGCAAAGGGGTCAAGACCTGGCTGGAAAAACCCACAGAAACAGCTGACCCAAACAGACTGATAGCTGGGAAACCAGCATAGGACTAATCTAGACCCCCTGAACATGGGTCTCAGGAACCCTGGGCAATCAATGGAGCCTCTGATAGTAGATCAGTGTTTATCCCTGGCATGTGGATGGACTTGGGAGCCCTTTCCACATAGAGGGATACTCTCTCAGCCTAGACCCAAGGGCCCTGCTCCAAATTATATGACAGGCTTTGAAGATTCCCCATGGAAGGCCTCACCCACCCTGGGGAGCTGAAAGGGCATGGGATAAGGGCCAGGTGAAGAGAAGGAGAGGAGAGGAGGGAGAGGAAACTGGGATTGGCACGCAAAACAAGTTTTTTTCTAATTTAAATTTAAAAATAATCATTAAAAAGGTGGGCACCTACATTTCCTGGTTATTTTTGTTCTTTTCTTTTTAAATGCCAGATTTTGACTTGCCTTTTAAAGCTTTTATGTATGTAGAAACTTTTAAAATGAGTCAAACTTCTTATTGCTTCTTGCTAAGTTCTTCTCCCTCTCTGCAAATATATCTTAATTAATGTGATGAGGGGATTGCTATTGACATTAGGGGTATATAAATAACAAAGAGAAATGTGACCAAATTCTCTTAAAGCTTATGATCCAGGGAGTAGACATGTGTTAAATACCTATACCCATAGATCATTTCATTTAACGGTATATGACACTAGGAGAACAATGAACAGAGAAAAGCTAAGCTAGCAAGCCAGGATATTGAGTGGCAAGTAAGTTAGTGTTGATGGATATGTAGAAGTACCTAGGGTAAAGACAGGGAGTATTGAGAATGTGGTAGACAGCTTTCTGAGGTCAAGAATGGAAGGAGAAAAGTCAGTTAGGAAGTCTGTAGTCATTTTGGAGACAAAGGATGCTAAGTTGCAGCAGGGCAAGGAGTATAGAAGCAAAATGAACTGTAGATATCTGTCTTGCTAAACCAGCATGAATTGAATGGTGATGGATGAAGGAAAAGATGATAGGATGTGTCAGGGAGGCTCCCAGTACTGTTAAATATAACTCACAAATCAGGCTGTTGTTTATATAGGGAAGGATCTTAAAGAATGACTGGTTTGGGAAAGGAATTCGGTGACTTGAGCTTTTCTCAGACTTGAAGTTTATATAGACCATCCAGCCAGAGTATGTGAATAGTCATTGGACAGACAAGACTAAGCCAATGTTTGGAAATTGAAACAGAAAAGTTGAGAACAGAAAACAG